GTGCTCTCCCGTGTTTCACGGGCTTGACAGTAACTCACGATACGAAATTGGATAGGAAAATGGTTTCGGTACAGCTTTGCTATCGACCGAAACAACCAATCCTTTGGCGCACCGTCGGGCTCGATGGCAATATCGAGCGTGTTATGCCAGTCAAGGCAGGCGATGATCGGCTCCCTGGCGTCAGGTTGAGGTACGCCGAAATCGGGCGTTCCGTCACCGGAGGGTGCTGCTGCACTTGGGGGCTGCTTAACCGGCAATTTGGGTGCCGGGGCAGCCTTGAACCTCACCTGTGGTGGTGGTGAGGGTGGCGCCCGCTTGTAGGCTTTGGGCGGCGTCTCAGGCCGTTTTACCCCGCTAATCGATTTTGGAACCGACACTGCGCGTTGAGCTGCAGCCCTTGGCACTGGTGCTGGGGGTGCTGGTGGTGCTCTCAGCGGTGGTGGGGGTATGGCCTTTGACGCAGCGCGATCCGCAGCTGCCTGGTCAATTACGCTTTGTGGGGGCGCTTTGACCTTGGCTTCCCGCTTGGTAAAAACTATCCGAGCGGTCTTTGTTGCGGGTGCTGTGGATGAGTCGCGCCCGGCAGGTGCAGGCCTCTTGATGCTGACCTGCTCAGCCTCGTACACCCTGTCCGGGTTGAAGGCCGCCAAGCCTGAGTAAACCTCACGCGCGGACCTTTCGGGCGGCGGTGAGGCACTCAGGTCAAAATGTTCGGCCCTCCCGTGTCCTCTGGGAGGGTTGCTTGAGGACCCTGACCTCGGCGGATGATGCCAATACGAGTCTGGGAGGTCGTACGGCTCGTCGGAGGGTACCGGGTGTGGCGCCCGACGCGTGGGTCGTGAGCCTCCCTCGTATCGGTGCTGGAGGACCCAGATTCCCGTGCTGTCCACCCGAGTGGTCGGGTAGGCGCAGTTGGCCGGCGCCAAGATCAGCGGCCGGCTGTTCAGGGATGCACGGGCCGGAGGTGTTGGGGAGCTGTGGCTCCTGGTCCTCGACCTCGCTGCGCTTGGAGCTGCAGCCCTGAGGGGAGTTCTGGATCGTGGGCGTCGGGTTGACGCCTTCCGCACCGGTGGAGGAGAAGGCTGTCGCCTTGTCGGTGGCGTCCTCTTCCTCCTTGATGAGGACCTCCCTGCAGCAGTGTACCTTCTCCGGCCTGCTTTTACAGGCGGAAAGGATGACGGTCGGGACGGGCTCTCAGAGCTGGTCCTTGTGGGAACCGCTGCGCTTGGAGCTGCAGCCTGATCTCCCGGCCCTGCTGCTGCCTGTGTCGGAGCTGCGCTTGTAGCTGCAGCCTTGATTGTGGACACAGTTGTGGTGGAGGATGGACTTGATGGGGTGCTTGGTTGTTGCTGAGGCTGGGCTGGTACTGGAGCTGGAGGCTGCCCTGCCGCGCCTTGAGCTGCGGCCTGTGCCCGTTGTAGGATTGGGATCGGTTGGTGTCGGCCTCGGGCGATGACGGCGTCGTAGAGGTCGGGGTAGAGGTCTCGCAGATGCCGATAAGCGTTATCGGAAAAATCTGCTTGCCACGCCAGGAGGGAGCTCCGGTGCAAATCCGATGCCTCCTCCCAGGCGACCCTTGTCACCCCAACCTTGAACTCCCGCCAGGCCCACCGGGTGAGCTCGTCGAAGGCCTCGTAGTAGAGCTTGCGACGATGCGTCCACCCGCCCCTCTGACCACGGGCCGAGAAGGCCGGTGCCGGGTCCATGCACGAAGTGCGCTGACTACCGGACTGAGGGGGCCTAATCCCAAAAAGCAGTTACGGCTGATAACCACTCAACAGGGAAAGAAACACAGCGAACCAGAAACCGGGACCCTTATTAACCCCAGTCCGGTAGGCGAGCGCAAACCCTGGTTTTGATCTGATGGGCATCTTGAGCCAAATGGTCATTGCCATTCGACATGTCACTTGAAACACATGCAGTCAATGGGGCCTCTAACATCACATGCATGCACACCCTTCTGGGGTACCTCTTTGGGGGTCAAGGGGTCGTGATTATTCAACTAAATTTCCGGCTATTTGACACCGAGGTTGCTTAAGCCAAGCTTCAGCACCCGAAGCTCCAGCTCGGCGTCCACTTCACGCTTGTGGCGGCTCCCGGGCCTGGCAAAATAAAGCCAAGGAGTTGAATGTGAAAAGCAAACATCGAAGTCAAAAAGACGTTACTACACTCTCACACCCTCGGAAATTGCCCCTTTGCTTTGCCAGAAAGAGGTACCCCTGTAATTCTCTTCTTTGTGAAGGGCCTTGTCAGGGTACAAGCAAGTTTGGAGATAAAGGATGCTGGGGTCTACCGGCTGGCCAAATCCACAATGTAGTACGCAAGTCGAAACAGAGGACCGTGAAATACAGCAAACTGCACGGTAGTTCTAGCCATGCCCGCCCTCAATTGGAGACTGTTTTTGAGGCATGAACTGCTCAACTGCCCCGATTCTCTCGTTTGCAGCGAACACAAAACAACCAATGCAAACTTCAAGCAACACACATATGTTGACACCCGATTCATGAATATCCCGCAGAACCACCGAACGAATGCCTGGCTTGAAAGTCTGCCCTGCAGACTTTGACCAAGGTCTTCAGTGTCCCAGTGGTTGAATCTGGAAGAACAATGGCACCCAACTTTGGGCTTGACCTTCGCAGAAGCCACCCAACAAAACACAAACAAGCGCGCCCCTAAACGATAGCATCCTTTTGCTTTGCCTCATACGCGGACCAGGGAGCGTCTCAAAAGAAGGGACACCGCTTTCCGTTTTCCCTTTCGGTGACCTATGTTGAGACTGAGAAGCGCCCACCAGGCGCCGCCTGCGGCGGCGACCGGTGGCGCCGGCGCCCATTTCGTCCGCGCCGCACAGCAGCCGTGCCACACGCATCAGCGGGCGGTTGGGCGCCAAGTCGCCCTGGCGGCTCAACGGACATGGCCCCTGGTGGTTTGGCTAGAAGAAACATGAACTGTTTCCTTGTCAAATGGGCTGTAAATGAAGTCCAGGAACCCAGGGGGTGGCATGATGACCATTTGGGAGCCCCGGCCTTTAGAGGCAACACTTAAAAAGGGCAGACAGAAAGCTGGCACCGCTTGACATGCCCGTGGCTGCGGTTGGTGGAAAACCCATCCAGCCCGGGAGTCAAACATGACCCCCCCCACCGTGCAGTGCCATTTTTTTTCCGGAATCTAATTGGAAACGGGCCCACTGTTGTGCCCAGAATCTTGCCAAAGCCGACAAGTGTGCGCCAACAGTGTCAAGTGGTGCCACCAAAACAAAGTCATCAAACTAAGTCCAACTTGTTGAACAGCAGTGAAGACCAACAGGACACTTGCACGCGACCATCCAAACCACCAACCTCCCAAACATGTTATTTCTCTAGTCCAAGCATCACTTATACATGGTGGTCAACAGTTGCTTTACAAATTGTAACGGAATCCACCTGCGGCAATGGATTACGTCTGAAGGATCTCAGTCGGCGGGGGGCAAAAAGGCAAATCCCGCGTCGAGCCTTGACTTGGGTTACATGAGGTTACTCTCAAGCCACAGTCAATCCTTGTCAAAGTTGGACCGCTTTGGGTCTGTTATTTTAACTTGCAAGTTGTTTGGTGTTGGGGCTTGGTCTCACACACGCGCACACACACACACAGACAAAGAAAGGCTGCGTTGTCTGGCAGCAGTGCTACGGGCTTGTGAAACGCAGCATGTTCGCATCAAGGTTTTATTGGGCCCAAACTTCACAGTTGACCAAATGAAAGACTAAGAAGCAACCTCCCGCTGCGCCAAACCAATTCTTGACTTCGATCCTCAGCCGGCCGTGGGCCCCGTGAACTCCGCACGAGGCGGATAAACGCCACAGACCCCGTGCCACCAGGCCCTCCCGTCCGGCACGGTGAACAGCAGGGGCTCGTCATCCTCCCATCCCCAGCTCCGCAGCGCTGCCCTCTTCTCAGCATCGAAGTCCACGTCTCCACGGAAGACCTCCACCCCTGGCCACGTGATCACACTGGAAATTCCCGGAACCTTGGGGAGGTCAGCCCACTCGAGAAAAAAGAAAGAAAGAAGTCTGGCCAAGTCAACTATAAGTCGATCACCAAGAACCTGCAAATGCAAAGTCTGTCACCGCAATTGCAATGTGCGCGAGCACTTGGTTGGCTTCCCATTGTGGAATTGAAAGCCATGAGGCCTGGAGCAAATCAATCATCATATGAATCCAATGGTGTCGGTCTGAATTTATCCCGATCATTGCGTCTTTGGTGATTTGTGGTTTGCGGCGTTGTATGCTGTTGGTTGTGTGTGCGTGATACTTGTTTTTCCTTTCTGAACATGTGTCCTTTCATTGAAACAACTAGCAAGTGTTGCTCCAAGTGCCAGCCCATATCTTTGTTTCAGGTCTCGTCCTTTTTGGCTTGGCTTTCATCTTCCTCCACTTGGCGCTGGAGTCCTGAAATTCACGAGGATCAAACTGCCCAACAAAATAACATTTGAAAGCGCTTTAAACCATGCTGAAGGCTCGAGAGACTGAATTTCCATACCAATGCCATTCTGGCGCCAACCCTGGTTGACCACAACTCTGCAGTTGAAAACTTTCCCGAGACATCGATTTCCACCGCTGCCTCAAAACGGGCGCCTGCCCGGAGGACTGCTATGTGAGCACCCCCTATGGTACTGAAGAGTTTGACCATGAGCTGCTTCCAAAACTCGTAGGCCAGCAGTCTGTCAACACTTGTTCGCTTGATGTTAGACATGGACCACTTCAAGAAAGACATGACCATTGAGGTAGGAGTTGTGTTGACGTCAGCCCAGAGGTCAGGTTCCAGAGCCTCCTGCCTGGTAGACTGACTCTGAAAAATGCTTTGCCTGGAAAAGCCGAGCTTTGATTCTGCTGGAATCATGCCTGGCCAGAGTAGCCGGTGCTCGTCTTCAGCAGTTGCTCTTTTATCCTTAGTGGCTTGCTCTTGGCACAAGTGACTGCTTCAAACAAGTTTTCTCTGATGAATAGGGTGCATAAAAAAACAAAATGTGGCAACCTCCAACTAGCGGCGGTTGCATGAGTCCGAAGTTTCTTGTTGCTGTTAGTGCGGAAGATCTGTTGCATCACATCCCGGGTTGCCCAATGCACTTGAGAGGATGGCACCAGGAACACGGCCAGCGACTTGCCATTTCCAAGTCGGAGAACGCCTTAGTCAGTGCAGCAGGGGTTGGGAACAACTACCCTTAGGTGCAAATACCCCTTTGGGCGCAACGCAAACTTGTTATCTGCGGAACAAGTGCTTTTTGAGAACGAATCTTCTTGTTCCTCCTCCTCATCATTGTTGCCATGCCGACTCATGGCAGCACAGGTGATGGCTTCTCCAAGCTAGGAACTTTGGAGCTGCGCTGAACCAGAAACATATACTTGTCAAACATCGTGTTTTGAATTGACGACGCGTCTCCACTTTCAGCAGGTAGCCAAATGCCTGCAGAGGCCTCCCGTCAGAATCAAAAATGCGGAACCCTTGATGCAAGGGCTGATTTCTCAAACAACTCTTATTCGGCTCTATTTCCTTGGGGGGTCCCCTCCAGGGGGGGCTGGACAACAAACCCATGAAATTAGCATCCCGAGAATCTTCAAACTTGTATCCAGAATCTTTAAAGGGCTGCTCAGAATGTTTGTACGAATGCATGGGCGGCTAATGCTCAAATTTGGGAGTTGGCAGGTCTGCAAAACGAGCGAAAAAGTACTGTTCATACCAGGGAATCTCTGACTGCAGTGAAGCCTACATAGTTTTCTCTCAGCAAACCCGAGTCGTTGCTAACAGCTTCAGATTCAATATTATGTCTTTGTCACAACTGACGCTTCCGAATTCACTCGAAGCTTTTGCAAGGTACTGCAGCTCTGCACAAATGTGCAGGACATGAAATTCCCTATTGAATGCATGTCCGTGAATTGCCTCTGGCATATGTCTACACTATTGGCCTCAGAACGCTTTCAATTGTTTTACTTGATATTCCATACACCTAGAAATCCATTCTGTCTGTCTAGTTGTGTCCCCATGTAAGCTACCACACCCACGGACATGTGTCCAGAACCAAAAAAAGCAAGAAAGCCAACGAACAAACAAAGCAACAAAAGGGACAAGGAACAAAAACAAAAACAGCTGAACCCGAAGAAGGACAGAACCTGAGAAGGATCCGGCATGTTTTCTCAGACCTACCTTGTTTCTCTGGCTTTGCTGTTGGCTTTCGTCCTCCCGGGAGCTTCGGCCCCGTCTTTCAAACAAGACCCGCACGCTTGTTGTTTGGCGCCCGGAACCCAAGCCGGCTGCCACGATCAAGCCTGCCATCTCGTAGGCAGAGGTTTCCTCCAGAGGCGGGATCCCATACCTCGACATGTGCTTAAGCATACGTAGGAATAGTTGAGCGGCTGCTTCCTAGGAATGGCAAACCCCTGCTGAGGATCTGCTAGGGAAGCAAACGGAGCTGATCCCAAAAGGGAATTGAGTGGGCAAGAAGGGCTCCCTTTGCCAGCGAATTGATGAGGCCCTCCAAAATCAAACTCTAAACGATATTTTCCGGGCCTGAACTTGTTTTGGTTGGCTGGCTTTGGGCAAGGCTCAACGGACCGCAAAAAGCAAGCTGGCAAATGAGCCGTGCCAAATACTCTTGGTAAAAAACGGTCCTATAAACTTGCTTTCGCGGACCCTTTCGCGATGCTC